CTCTCCCGTGGTCCCCCCCATCTCCCATGATCACCCCATCTCCCGTGGTCCCCTCCTCCTCTCATCTCCCGCGATCACCCCCATCTCCCATGGTCTCCCAGGCCTCTCGTCCCCTGCGATCTCCCCCTCCTGTCAGCACCCACAGTGCCCCCCGTTGGCACCTGAAGTCCCCCCTCCTCTCAGTGCTTGTGGTACCCCCTCCTGTCAGCGCCCACGGTCCCCCCAGGTTTCTCATCTCCTGCGATCCCCTCCTGGCACCCACAGTCCCCCCTTCTCAGCATCCGTGGTCACCCCCTCCTCTTGGCACCCGTGGTCCACCCCCCTTGGTGCCACCATCCCCCATGCATCCGTGGCTCAGACTTTGAAGCCAGAGGCTCTGAGCAGCTGCCCTGGCGGGTCAGCGGACACTTGCTCCTCCTTTCTTCTTGGGCAGCCGGGTTCTCGTTGCTTTCCTGTCCTTGGGATCACAGTCAGACCCTTGGTCTTGACACGTCTAGATGTGCCTTCCAGCCCCTAAGAGACACAGCGTCACCAGACCGTGATGCCTGTCCTCGGGGACACGTGTGGGGTGAACAGGCACCGTCCTTGGCAGAGGCTCCCTGGGCGGGGCGGGGCGTCGTCCCCACGGAGGCTCCCTGTGTGGGCGGGGCGGGCGTCCTCGTCCTGGAGGATGCTGGCGGGGGGATGGGTGTCCTCCCCACAGAGGCTCCCTGCCTCTTGTCTCCCATGGTCCATGGGAGACGAGTGTCATCCTGCTCCCTCCTGGAGGATGCTTGCGGGGGGCGGGGCGTCGTCCCCACGGAGGCTCCCTGTGCAGGCCGGGCTGGGTGCCATGTGTCTCGTCTCCCGCCAGGTGGGGTTTTTCGGTTACGTCAGCTTCACCGAGGCCATCGCGGGCAATGTGCTCATGCACTTCTCCTCCAACCTGGTGACGGAGGTCTTGCGTGTGGGCTTCCTGATGTCTGTGGCCGTCGGCTTCCCCATGATGATCCTGCCCTGCAGGCAGGCCCTCAACACCCTGCTCTTTGAGCAGCAGGTGAGGCGTGGGCAGAGGTGGGGGCCTCCTGACCCCAATGACGCCGTCTCGTGCCGGTTCTTTATTTCCCTGGGAAGTGGCAGATTCTTCCTGGCACCAGAGAGGCTTCTGTTAAAGTGAGATGTCTCAACAGGAACGCTTGTATTTACCAACTTTGGAAAAAAGAGACGTCACTGGGAGAAGCAGGAGACCCTCAGTCGTGACATGGGGTCCCAGCTGATTAGGTCCCCTTTGGGGTGCCCCCACCTGCGGCCCTGTGGTGTGGTCCCCAAACCGGAGAAGCTGCAGGTGTCCGCCTCGCTGCAGGGCAGCTGTGGGTGGTGGGGGCAGCCGAGTGACAGGCCTGATGCTGGCGGGGACTGGGTGAGGGTACCCAGGCCAACAGCTCCTTCCCTGTGCTCCTGTGTGACCTTGACATTGTGGACAGCTGAGCCAGAGAAGAGGCAGAGCGTGTAGATGTGGACGAGGGGCGGCATGGGCCCCCGCTTTGCTCACTGTCACCACGTTACCAGTGGAGGCGGACTGCGGTGCCTCGTGCCAGACGCCGGCGGGCTGCCCTCTGCTCACCCGGGAGACTGGCCCCCACCCACCTGCTCCGAGGCTGCTGGGACTCCCCTGCCAGCCTGAGATGGACCCGCGCTCCCGGCTGGTGCAGCTGGAGGGCAGGGTCTCTCTGAGTTGGGTCTGATGTGACCATCAGGACTCTGGGTTACGAGTGGGAGATGCCAGTTGAGAGAAGTCGGAGGTCTCGGCCTCACAGACCCGGGGGGAGCTGACCAGCCAGGCTGCCCAGGTGCCCAGCGCTGGGCCCAGAGCCCGACGGGTGTTAGGTCACTCGGTTCTCGATACACAGTGGTGAGGAGGTGCCCTGCCGTGTCCACGGATAGGGAAACTGAGACACAGGCTCAGTAGCTTGTTTGCAGGCACGCAGCTGGTGGTGGTGGTAGGGCCAGCGGCTCATCGGCATGTGGTGTTGGGAGCCCTCTGGAGACTGCCCACCCTCGGCCCGTGTTCCGTGTATTTGTGCATGAGTGGCCCTACGTGTGGAGGAGGGGCAGAGCCCTGGCTGCTCCCGGGGGTCCAGCCGACCACTTCTGGTCCGGTTCTGCCACGTCTTGCTGTCTCCTCCTGTTTCCTCCTGGACCCTGAAGCAGATTAATGGCCAGCCATCTCTGCTGGGGCCAGCATGAGGGGTCTGCCTGTACCCCGAAACTGGCCAGTGGAGGCGGCCCGGGCCGTCCACAGGCAGCTCCGGTGTTGGGGCACCTTGCGTCCCACAAGTGCCTGGCTCGATGTCAGCGTGCTGGATTGAGGCAGTAAATTTCCGTAGCGGACGTGTGTGTGGAGAGCTGTGTGCACGGCCGCACGTGCTTCTTGGCCGTCCTGTGGGCTCCAGCCGTGTCCCTGTGAGCACCGCTCACCAGCAGCTGGCACCACTCCCCAGAGCCTTGGTGGTGGTCTTGGCCAACCCTTGGAGGTGCAGCTGTATGAGCGTCACAGGGCATCTCTCCTTGTAACCTGGCCCGTCTGTCCTGTCACACAGCAGAAAGATGGCACCTTTGCCGCCGGAGGGTACATGCCTCCTCTACGCTTCAAGGCGCTCACCCTGGCGGTGGTGTTCGGAACCATGGTCGGTGGGATCCTGATCCCTAATGGTAAGGTGTGGGGGATCCTGATCCCCAGAGGTCAGGTGGGCTGCTCCAGAGGCCGGGCCCCTGTTGGCTTCTCCCCGCTTCTCCCATTTGTGGCTTTTATCTGCAGGGGCCTGGTGGTGCCCTGCCACACGTCCTGGCGTGCAACCAGAAACACTCTGGCCTCCTCGCATGCCCAGGATACTCCTGGGCAGCCTTCCTCTGGGCCACAGAGAGGGTCCCCAGCAGGGACGTGGGCCTGCAGTGGGCTCGGCAGTCGAAGGGGAGCTGGTGCTGCTGTGGGGGCCTCTCCACATGCCTGCGTCCCCGAGGGGCTCGAGGGCCAGAGTGGGCCGTGCTGTCACAACCCCGAGCCTGCAGTTGGCACGAGGCTCTGCTGGCTGATCCCGAGGAGGGAGCCAAGCATGGGCCCCTCGGTGGGAGCCCGCAAGGCCCCTTCCCGGCTTGTGGCCACGGCGTGCTCGACACTGCACTCCAGGCTCTGGCTTCTCCGGGCCAGATGTGGCCTGCTAGATGGTTTACCAGGTGGCAGGGAGGACAGGCAGTACCCCACATGGTGCAGACCAACACGGTCTGGCAGAAGAGCCCAGGGCCGGCTTGTCAGGGGCGAGCCGTCGGGCCCTCCTCCACTGCACACACAGACCACGCCACGCGGGTGAGTGGCCGGCTGCTGAGCGCACTCTGGGCTGGATGCTGCGTGGGCTTCTTGTTGGTGTCGGCTGCCAGGCTGACTGACTCACAGCGACCCCACAGGGCAGAGGAGAGCTGCCACACAGCCGCAGGCTGTCGTCTCTAGGGAAGGGGGTCACCAGGTCTTCCCTCCTGCAGACAGCTGGGGGTTTTGAAGTGCTGGCCTCTCAGCAGCCCAGCACTTGACCACTGCCCCAGCGGGCCCTTCACCGTCGGTCCGACCCCTCCCACAGGCCGTGGCACGGAAACGGTTTGTGGCCAACAACTAACCTAGAAGGTAGCAGCTTAGACCCCTCGGTGGTGCCCAGAAGCAGGGCCTGGCCGTCTCCTTCCACGAAGATGGCGGCCCAGGGCACCTTGGCGCAGCCCTGCTCTGGGGCACGGGGGGTCGCTCGGAGCTGACGAGCAGGAGCTTAACCACAGCGGTGGTTCCGGGCTCCAGGGAGGCCACTGACTGCCACCCGGGGAGGTTCCCATGCCACCTTGCCCTCTGCCCAGTGGTGGCAGGATGGGATGTGTCCCTCTGGGCCCAGAGGTGACTGGAGACGTGTAGGGAAAGCTGCAGCAGGGCTCGCCGTGGCCTCGGTGGGGTCGCCAGCAGCCCCTCACGGGTCATTCGCTCCTGCCTCATCCTCCCCATCACAGTGGAGACCGTGCTCGGCCTCACGGGAGCAACCACGGGAAGCCTCATCTGCTTCGTGTGCCCGGCCCTCATCTACAGGAAGGTCCACAAGAGCGGCCTCTCGGCCCAGGTGAGTGCGTGGGCACTAGAGACTTGGGGGCACTGCTGACGGTGGTGAGGTCCTGTCTCCCTCCCAGTGCCCACCAGCAGGGCGGGGGCTTCCTGTCCCCACCTGTCAGCTTGGAGCCAAGCTGAGTGTCTCCGTGTTTGTAAGCCCTTGGGTTTCGTTGTCTGTGACCTGCTCACTTGGCTCACTGCTCCCTGGGCTGCTGGGCCTTTTCCTCGAGGGTGTATCGTGGTCATTAAGAACAGAGCACGGCACACGTACCAGCGAGGCACGTGATCCTCACGTGCGTACAGCTGTACGAGTTCTCACAAAGGGAGCGAGACACAGCCTCACCAGCCCCTGAAGCCTCTCTGAGCCCCCCATCATTCCGCCCACAGTGGTGACCGCTCTCCTGCCACCTAGCAGGTCAGCGTGATTGTGCCCTGCTTGGTGTTCACGTGCATGGAGCGTTAGGGTACACGTTCACGTGTGGCTACTTTTACTCACACGCGGCACAGTGTGGTCGCTGACTTGTCCGCCCTGCTTGGCGTTCACGTGCGTGGAGCGTTAGGGTACATGCTCCTTCACGTGTGGCTGCTTTTACT